CTACAGATTCATAAAATTCAAATAAAAAAAAAATTCATCGAATTTGATCAGATGGTTGCTGAGAAATCGCTACAATCGCGTACAATCGATTGCAATCGAACAATCGGCATGCAGTGATCTACAAATTTTATCAAAAGCACATCAATTTGCAAACAGCGATAAATATCTTAATACTCTACCTGCCAATTCATTAAACATGTCATGTCCTTTGAAAATTGTTCAAAATCGCCAAAAGTAGCAGGGATTTTGATGCATACAAATTGTTGTAGCAAATAATTGTCGGAAGGGGTCGCACCAAATATTTAATTTCAATAAAGCCATCTATAAAGAAACAATTGTGAATAAATGTACTATCTTATTTACAAGTATAATTACTTACTAAATGAAGGTATATTCGTGCACGCTCCCTGGGTATCATTTTTAATAATACATTTAATGTTCTCATGGCATTTCGACAAAGTTTAACCAAATCACCATCTTTTTTGGAGATGGGTGTTTTTCTTCCACGTGAAAATTCAATAATAATAATTACTTGATTGTTGCCTGTTGTGCTAATTACTTTATATAACCCATCAAATTTGTTAGTTAAATAAAAAAAAAAAACAATCAGAATAGTTAATTAATTAAAATTTTGTTAAATTGATACATACCAGGCAACATCCAACTCATCTTGGTGCATTCGAAATATTCTATTTAAAATATATATGATCGTATCTACAGCGTATGTTCTTTCTAAATTGAAACCTTTATATTCAACTCTCGTTGGTGCTTCTAGCCGTATTGAACTATTTTCAAAAAATTAATAATAATCAAGAATTGATTGAATATTAAACATTGACATAAAGAATACTTACAAATGTGTTAGTATGTGCTGGGCAATGTCATGTGCTTCGTGGTAATAAGGATCAAATCTTAGGGATACAAAAGACCTATAAGCAATAGTAGGGATCTCATTTCGAGTACATGCTTCTTCTGTGAATTGATTAATATATTGTGTATACTCGGGAGTTGGTTTCCATGTTTTCTTCTGAAGAACTCCTTCGAGCCAACTAGATTGATCTTTACTTAGGGACTTTTTAATCTGCTTGTATGTTTCGTCATCCGATAGATCTAAAATATTATTGAGAAATATTGATTTCATAAAATCTTTCCCAGCTTTTTTGTCCTTTTCTTTATTTGCTGTAAGAATTTTGAGTAATTTGTTCCGAATATCCATCTCATCCTAGAGATTAAGTATGAGTTGAATAACTATTATATCTAAACAAGGTACAGGTTACCCTCGTTAATGTCAACCCCGTTAATATCAACTCTGTTAATATCAACCTCATGTTAATATCAACCTCTTATTAAGAAAAAGGTTATTCCGCTGTCATCAACCCTCGCACATATCAACATAATTGTCTAATCCAAATGGGTTGATATTAACGGGGGTAACCTGTAATATCAAATACCTGTGAAAGGTTTTTTATCTCCTCATCATCATGTACTTCATTTATCGATTCTGCATCACTTTCTCCTGAATCACTACATTTATAATATTCAGAATCGCTCCTACAAATCTAAAGAAACAATGAAATCAATTTACAGGATAGAATAATGATGTATTAAATATTCTTACCCAGGTAATTTGTATCGTTTTTTTGCACTCGATTTATCCTCAGATTTCCGTTTTAATGAATTCAATATTTTTTTTGTTTGTTCAGTGCGTGCTGTTTCTAAGAGCTTTAATGCATCTTTTTCTGTATTATTGCGGATTAATTCCTTGGGTTTGTAGTAAAAATGTTAGAATATATAAGATATATTATATGTAGAATATAATACATACTGTATCGTTCTCCACCTCCTGCCTTCTACGAATAATTTCCTTCTCTTTTTCAATATTCTTCCAAAAGAGGTCTGCGGATTGCGGATCCTATAAGATGTATTAAGAAAACTGAACTAATAAATTTGGACTATGTGGAATACAAAAAAACTAAATTATAATTTAAAGGATGTTTCAAACAGTCAGATGTCATATGGAGGGTGCTACCGTCATACCTCAGGAGGGAGCGGAACCGTCCTTTGGTTATACGACATCGACAGTAACTACACGGAGGGAGCTACCGCCATACCTAAGGAGGGAGCGGAACCGCCCTTTGGCTGTATAGTACTGTCTTGACCATTTTTTTAAAAAAAATATACACCAAATACCTTTTCTTTCAAACGAATCGCCTTATTTCTCTGACGTTTATTATACGCGTCATCGTCAGCGATCTTTTCTAAACGTTTTATAAATCTCTTCCTCCACGTGGCCTTTTCATCTCGTATCGGGATATCTAAATTCAATATAATAACGGGTTTGAATGTTTCTAAAAAATGAATATATGACCATTCTTCGACGGGCGTTTCATCAAAAAAGTCTCTGATCGCTTTGAGTATGAGTTGTAAATCCGCCATTTCCGAAATTTTAAAAAAAATATATACAGTAGAAATGATTGTCATATAAATTTGTTCGCGATTACATGATACCTCAAAATTCTTTAGAGTTCGTATATATAAACATATCATATGACATTATAATGTTGTCATTTGCTCCGCATGGGCCTGGGCTACCCATGGATACCCGTGGGCAGTGTTGTACAAACTTAGGTAGCTGTCCCACAAAATTTTTCCACCCCTGAAATTTTGACCAATCGAAATTTAAGATCAGGTGTAACGTGATAGTCAAAACAAATTTATTTTGTTTTCTAAGTAAAAAAACGCGTGTAAAATTAAATCTAAGAAAACCGCGTTATAGTTAGGGTTATAGTTAGAAAAATATGATGGCTATTAGTAGAATTTCACGAGAAATATTTTTAATTAGGCCGCAGAAGATGATTTCCTAATAAAAATTTAGAGCTATTCCTGTTTTTTTGTAAAAAAGTGGTCCGTTTCAATTTTTACGTTACACCTGATCTTAAAATTCAATTGGTCAAAATTACAGGGGTGGAAAAAATTTTGTGGGACAGCTAGGGGCTTTTGTTGTACAGTACATGGGACAAAATAACAAAATATCCAGTGACATATCACTTCAACAATCGAGTAATACTATATATACTAACAAGGTAAACCGTTGTGCAAATTCTGTGAGTCTTGTGTTAGTAAATTAGGTCAATTATAAATAAGAATGGTATAAAGAAATGCAGTATTTTGTGGTAAATAATAAATATATGAAATGGTAAAATATGTATAGAGATAATTTTCTTGATATAAATTTATATGTAATTTAAAGTAGGTATTTTTTTAGGTGGATTTGCATCTATAGTAAAGAAGATATTTGTTGAATTGTTCTTATAGTTTTTTATAAAATAATAGTTCGAATTTTTTTTGTATAAGGTAATACAAAAAACGTTTGGTAATTGTTAATTAATGTCAAGGTAGCAAAAAAAAGAAAGAGTTATTATTTTTAGGGATTAGGTGAAATTTATAAAATATAATTTTTATTAATGTGTAGTATTATATAGTTTGTAATTAAATTAGGTTGTAGTACTTGTTGATATGTAGGAGTTATACTATATAATATAAAAAAAAAAATCTGTTAAAGCAAAGATATTTTTTTTATTAATTCTAATGCGAAAAAGGACAATAGTAGTGCGTATTCTAATTCTAACTATTTAAACAGGTTACAGTATAAAGAATAAGTTTAAAGAATGTGACTAATAATCGGTGTGATAATTAGATAAAATTGATAAGTTATTATTAGTTGTGTATGATTGGTCACACAGACTATTATAAATGGAAGGTTAGTCAAAGATTTTAAATTTGTACAATGCAGATCATTTACTTTTTTTTGGTAAAAGATCTTCAATTGAAAAATTTTTTTTTGTGAAATTTGTCTTTTATAGCTTCAGGGATTTCACAGATTATATATTCGTTTTGATTGTTATTTTTAGATAATAAAAAGGGCTTTTTTTTAAATAAAAATATGATTTAAAATAATTTTTAGTATATTGTAGATTATTTCTTTTTAATTTTTTTAATTCAGTGATCCTGCCTATTACTCTTTATTTAGAAGTAACAGAACTCATATCAACAAGTAGATACAATTTTTTATACTATATTCTATGCGAGTAAAAATTAACTTGAGTTAAACTCAAAGAATGTTTCACCTAGCAGCAATTGGCTTCACATTGGATCCTCAACTTACTGAGGATATGAACCCTCTAATCCTTAACTCTAATAGCTACATTATTTCATCAAAAGAGCCAAATTAACAAAAGCACAAACACAAAAGAAAAAATAAGACAGAGATATAGAGGATACGATAAAAGATACAAATAAGAAAAAAAAGGGGTAAGAAAATATCAAAAAAAAACAAAAAAGAGAAAATTTGTTTATTTTAATGATCATTATTATAAGCCTGTAAAAAACTTGTAAAAATTATATACTACTAAATAAATTAGTTCCTACTCTAAATTTATCTAAATAGTATATGAAAGCTCAAAACCAGTGAAAAAATACTTCTTTGATCATATATCATAGGAGGTCGGTACTTGATCCTAGTCTCAGAGCATTGTTTATCAGTTTGTTGCATTCGAGGCATATGCTTTGATGTGTTTGTTGTCCTGTTATACTGATTTGGAAAATAAACAATATCAACTGTTTTGGTATATATAATATCGATCTTTTGGAGAAGTAAGCTGGAACGCCTACTTTTTACAAAAATTTCCTCGAAAAAAAGTGGTGGGTAAATAGAAGTATATAAGATTCTTCTTGTAAGAGTTATAGTAGTATAGTCCAGTTTCTCTGTTTCTACTTGATATTCTTGCACAGGGACTCAACAG